TACACAAGTCGTTAACATTCATACCAATGTGATGAAGATATTGCCTACATGGTAATCTATTATGGTAGCATAGCCATAAAAGGAATTATATTTGTTTGGACAGTAGAGTCTCCAAATCCACCTAAAAAAAATTTTGGAAGCATAGATTTCGTCAATCAGCTTGTAGCATGAATTAGTTGTGGAAAAAACACTATTATTGATATCCCAATAAACACTATTACTTATACTTATCAACCTTCTCCCTTATACTTCATAATTTTTCAAGCTTCCCTTATCTATCTTGCATTTTGCTCTTCATCTTTTCTCTAATTCTCTTCAAACAATAAACCTTCTCCTTCTTCCATACAATGGCTTCTTCCTCAAAGCGTACCGATTTTTCAAAGAGCAAGAACAAGGCCGAGGACACTGCTCCTCCAACAGTGGGATCCATCATTCCTAGAAGTCTTAATACCACAAAACACTTAGAAGAGAAATTCCCTACTGCTAACTCTCGTACATGGGTCGTCAGTTGGTATCCTTCTTCCATTCGTCCTTCTAGCATTCCTGCTGTGAAGGAAGACTGCCGCTTCCATGACTTGGATATTATTGATCATGATCTATCGGAGCGAGTCACTCTACCCAAGGAGGGTTTTACATATTTTTACACGTATCCCTTTACGTTGGGTGCGTTCTCTTTGAGCGGAGAGCTTGAATCCATGATTGCGGAGTTTTGCCTCCACTACCAAGTATGTTTGGCACAAGTAAGTCCTTCTGTGTGGAGGACGGTTGCTTGCCTTCGACGTTTGTGCTAGGAGACCGGAGATGAGCTAATCTTAGATTATATTATGAATCTCTATTCTCCCAAAACTCCACCATGCTCTGTTGTCTAGCATGGATGATGACAACGACTATGAGTGGATGGAACGGTTCATTACAGCTGCCACCAACAATATCATTCCGGCAACGGCTTCATCCTTTCCGGCCACTTGGAACCGTATTCGTAAGATCTTTGTTTAATATTTCCGTTTACTAAATATTCTTCTATAGCCATAATGATCCTCCATCCTTCGCCTGTTTTAGCAACTCGATGGATCCCACCGGTAGTTGAAGGTTTGGATCGGTGGTCATAAAAGATCTTGGACGTTACGATACCCGAGACTCGCTTGTGGAAAGAACTGGCCCCTAAATACGGGTGGAAGGCCAAGAATCATGGTAATTCAAACTCACCTTGTTTCAATTTTTCATGTGAAGAACTTGATTGATCCCTTCTAACTTGTCTAGGAAATTAGGTCTACCCGTGGGCTCTGTTGTTGTTCCCGAGGAGGATATCTTGGCTTATACTGATGATGTAGCGAGGCTGCTTCAGGAGGTGATTACTTGAACGGGTGTCTCCGGGCCTGCTTTGGGAGCAAATGTTTCTTTATGGAATCCCCGACCAGAAGACAAGCAACGAAAGAGAAGACGCTCCTCCGCATCTGGGGAAAAGAATGTGAGGGGGAGGACAGATGCCCCCTGAGTCATCTCCGGTAGCGATGGTGACTGGCCCTCCTTCCGGGCCAGTCATAGACGTCGTGACGATCGATGATGATAAAGAAGCTAGTGATGAGGAAGCTTCTCTACATAGAAAACGACGATCCTCACCATCTCAATAGGATGCTCGACCTGTTGAGATAGTTACACCAACTGAGGACGATGCCTCGGCACTTTGGGGAGAGTTTAATTTGGTAGGTAATGTCAACTCCCGTTTTCGGCACCCAATTGTTGTGGCCGATACTGCGGGGCTGAGTATCGGGTCCCTGTCGTCTTTGGTTGGCGAGCATCCAATAACCAGCACTGCATTTGATGCAGCTGCTTCTCACTCTCCATGCACAACGCCGCAGTGGTACGGTCTTTTCTTCCTTTATTACTTCTTCTATTTTTGGGTATGAACATATCCTGAATTTTTTCCTTCTTACTTTGTAGGCGAACTTTCTTGCTTTCGAGGACCTTCATAGGTTGATTCGTGAAAAGAAAGAGATTACCTCTGCACGGGATCAGCTTTTGGCAGAGCAGGAGCAACATGTCTCTCACCTTTCAGAACTGGAAGCCAAAGCTTTTGAGGTTGTTGTAATGGAGGCTCGTTTGTAGTAAAGCAAGCAAGAACTGGTAACCCTTAGCCAAGAAATTGGCCCGCTGAGGGTAAGATTTGAGGATAAGAAAGGAGCGTCAAGCGACTTTCTTCATTGTTGAGATAACTTACGCTATGTACAACATGAGGAGAAAAACCTTGAAATAGGCCAAACTGGTGAAAATGTTGAGCCATCGGTGGGTCCATCTACTTCTCTCGGGGGGCGGACACTTCTCTTCCTCCTGGTTCCAGAGATACCGCAGTTTTTCTTTTCTTTTCTTTTTCCAATTCTTGTACCTGTGCCGTTTTGACATGTTTTTGTAAATAAAAACATCTTTTGCTCAAGTATTGTTTGAGTCTTCCTTTCATTTGAATATTCATGCAAGTCTTTAATCATTGCATTTTCTTCCTTTTGCTTAATAATTTTGCTCAAGCTTTTCTGTTTTGCATCTTATTATGTGAAGCCTTGGGTGTATTCTCCCCGAAAGCATTTTTAGCTCTGGGCATCAGCTCTTTTTCGTGAGGGCTTTGATAAGTATTTGCGCATGTTTACTTTTTGCATTCTTTCATATACGGCTTCGGCGTATCTTTTCCCGAAGGCATTTTGATTCTGGGCATAAATTCTTCCGGAACCAACCCTTTAACGTGAGGATTTTTATAAGAGAGGGACCTCTTATGTTTACGGTGCTCTTGAAGAGGACGTCTCATGTTCATTATGGCACTGACATTTGAAGTACTTGTTTAACTTTCAAATGACAAAGTTAATTCGTCGTTTAGACAAGAAACAAGATAAAAACAAAAGGATTTCATTTTATTTTATTCCTTCTATTTTCAAAAAGTACATAAGCATTTGCTATGCTGAAAAGAAATTATCATTACTTGTGGTTAACTTGTACAACTTGTTTCTACGGGGCTAGCCACACAGTCCCCGGTCCCGATGATGAAATTATATTTTCGATTTTTTGTTTCCCGATCAATGTGGTAGTCATTGTTGTCGTATCCTCATATCATT